GTTCGTTGTTCTACTTTTTTGGGTAAACGGTTGCCGTAAACGGCGCTGAATAGGCCGCCGCAGAAATACCTCCGGCAACGCGATGCGGCGCCTGCGCCCGCTGCCGCCGTACATGGCCCGCGCTCGCGTGAACTCGCCACAGCGTTGTAAGTTATTTCCAAATCACGTAACTACACCATTTTAGTTTGCAGTGAAATTCGCGCAGTTCTGTTCGGCACAAACATGGCCGGAGATCGTGTAATGGCGCCATTGGTACGATTTTTTGTTTTACATTCCATCGAGACACATTTTTCATTTTATAACTGCGATTCGAGCGCTTGATGTTGTGCATGCGTTAAGATTGCGCTCTAACATTAACAACGAGAGCGCTGCGAGTGTCGAGATGGAATTATATTTTATGGAAATGAACATTGAATCAGAGCCAGCGCCGGCTGCATTTTCATACCGCGACAGTTATGCGAGCGAGCGCCGCGAGTGCCCATCGATAACAATAAGACCGCGCCCCCTGCCCCTCTTGCCGTCCCCTTTCTCTCCCCGCGCCATAAACAATAATCGACACGATCATTACAAAAATAACCTATAAATTAGTGCAGTGCCGGCAGGGAGCATGTCTCTCGGCGCCTCATGCATTTGTAATAAGGACAGTGTCCTGTCCCTGCGTTGCCGTACTCAATGAAATGACTGCAAGTCGCCGTCATGTCGGGCCGCAGTCGTAGCTAATTCCAACTGTTGCCAATTAGACTTTGCACTAAACATTGACGGTAAGCATCCACTGTTATTAAACTTTACCTTTGAGAAAAAAATATATTTCGTTATGAGTTTGACTGGCAATAAGTTGTTTCAGTCACACATTTTGTCACTTGTTTTTTTCAACATCTCATATGTATGTATTCCAATAAATACATATGTATTTACTAAAATACCTTTATTCTATGATATGAATCTTTAGCTATAATGAAAGATTTCGTATTTGGACAGGATTATTGGTTCGGAATCAGCCAATTATATCAAAATGAGTATGAAATTATTGGTGTACTTTACGGGGCGTTGCAAAAATTTTAATACTCGTGATAGTACCCCCCCCCCCCACAAGAGTGTAATTTCCAGGACGCTTTAAGTTCTAATAGGATATTTTAAAATGATTGACAACAGATGACTTATGCTCATGTTCCTTATGCTATACTTCTATCTTGACCGTTATTTCTAATTTAAGCTCGTATTTGAGCGTATCATTCAATGTTTATATTATTGTAAATAATACATTTATTGTAAATATTATTAGGTCACGAAATATTAATAGAATCCGTTCGGTTTTTGATCCAGATAACGGAATCGCAAACAAAATAAAACAATGGTATCGATGTTATCTAGAGTTTGTTTGAACCGCAAGTGGGTTAACCGTTAATTAGGCCGAGTATTTTATTAGCGACCGAGCTGCTTTATTGATTGCCAGCTCTACTGAATAACAATTTAAAAATATCTTTAAGAAAAAAATAAACCTTTGATGCTTATAACCAGACGAGTCTAATTTGGACGTCGACGTTTAAAAAGAAATTATTTTTGTAAGATAAAAGTTTGTACTTGCTGGCATACTTACAACTCTTGACGCACCGTCAGATCTCGAGGTGACAAAAGTGACAGGAGTGACAGCGCGAGGTACTGTCGGCGCATCTTTTGTTACGTCACCCGTCGCGCGTCACTTTGAAATAGTTTCGGTAATTTTTACTCACAACACTTCGAGGTCAAGGTATTGGTGTCTATTATAACAGATTACGTCTGCTACTGATTTTTAAATACTTTAAAATTATATATGTTTGCACCTTTTTGAAGTAAAAAATCGATGAAAGTGGGTCTTTTTTTTTTAATCTTAGGAAATTGCACCCAATATAAAAATTATAGCGTAATTCCTATGGAATGGTACAAAAGAGAGAGGGCATATATCCAGTGATTGATCGGTAAAGACTGTTATGATGATGATGATGACGATGATGAGGATGATAATGAAAGCGCGTGAATATTCCTAACAGTGTTAGATATATTACACCGACGTATTGGTGTTGTGGCATTTAAATTGCTAATATTTATGAAATGTTAGTGTTAGTTTTTATGTAACATTATAAAATTATCTTTCATTCACTTCGAAACTTTTTCTCGAACTTTTCTTCATCGAAATTCTTGAAAATTATTTCGAACTCGATTATGTATAAAAATCATGAAACATGATATTTATGACAGCTTAAAGCTTATTTTTGCATTAATATGATTCGTGAGTCATGTAGAAATTTTAAGACATTACAGCGCAAAAGATTTATTAGTAGAGTCCCGTTTGGATTTTCTAAATCTACACAGCAAAGATTAGCATTGCTCACGATTTGCGAGTAAAATAAGAGAAAGCGTCGACAATCATTAGCAACTTGTTAATTATCTAATCTTCCTTGTTCAACTCATGCAGTGGTGTGAACTGAAAACAACCTACTTGGTCAATACCTGCTTCATTTTCTTCATAATTTTCAATTCAATTGTTAAAGAATTAGGATTCTCAAGAAACAAGAGGAAAAATATAATTTTTGTTACTTATTAGAACATTGAATATAGCTCAATATTTAACAATTTTTAAATCTCTCGAATACAAATATTCTTAAGCTGTATTTTGCAAACAGTTAGTAATCGTCAGAATTTAAAATTAAATATTCAAATAGGGTACAACTTTGCATCTTTTAATTTGTATGGCTAGAAGATAAAATAGGAATTTTATTGCATTACTTTATCTATAAAGCTTGTAAATGCAACATTTACCTGATCAACATAATGCTCCCTTTAAAAGTCATGAATATGTGGAACTCGATAAATATATGTAAACACAGTATGCTATTGGAATCTGCTTCATCTGTATTAAAATGCGTATTACACGACGTCTCCGTATCGCATATAACTGGTAGAGTACAACGATCTAGCAACAATGCCGATAAAGGCGAGTAACTTAGTGGTCACATCAAAGCGACGCGAGCGAGGGCGCCACTTATCACGCGTGTTACTTTTGTTTTGGTATTGCGCTCCGGTTCCGTCATAGTTTACGTACTATCGACCGTTAACCGTCGCGACATTAAACTTAAATTGGCTTCCGACAACTCACGCTAGTGCTCTAGTGGCAAAAGCGTTTCCACTTCTCACCCACACATGACTATTCTGCAGCTAAACTTGACATCCTAACAGTGCTTGCGCCGGAATCGATACGCAGTTCTTAGAAAACCCTCCGTAGTTATAGTAAAGTTTTTGTTATACTACATAGCTTACATGAATTATTGATGGTCGTGTACCGCGGCGTATTCCAATATCAATCGGGCACGTAGTCATCACAGCGGCGCCCGGTTACATCATACGATTGGAAAACTCGCCGCGTTTGAGAGGCCTAAAGATTTTAGGTCGAGACTAGACTGAGAATGCCGGATTTAATAAGTCGCCTCACGTACCCCGAACTAAACGTCGCTTTCGAAAAATTTAAATTGACACAAAACGACATTAATGAGTCGATCACCGAGAAAAGCCTCGGTTACATTGGACAAGCGCTGGTTACCATATGTGTGCGTTTGTACGTACAGAGTGTACCCATTAGTAGTGTGCCCGCGCAAGTCAAAGGTGCCCCGGCGCCGGCGCCGACGCAATGCGTCCTACTCGTCTATTGTGACCGTATATAGGGAGTATGTATTTGAAATCTCTTAGGCGTAATTAAAGTCAATATCAATGCGGACGTCGCCAAATTCATTAACCTATCTGATATTACGTGTCGGCCTTGAGTTTAATGTATCGCTTTAAAGGATTAAATATTTTCGACAGTTTGGCATTTGCTCTATCGAAAAATGTTTGTAATGAAGCTAATTTATTGGTACTTCGCTATACATATATTACGTTTGCAAATACACTAGGCCGCTTCGTCGCCGCATTGGCGCCATTTGCCAATAAATTTAGGGCTGTCTCGGGCATGAAATGAATTCACAGATTGAATTATGAATGTCGGCGGCGCGGCGTGCGGCGTGCGGTGCGCGGCACTAGATCACGATCCTCGCAGTGTAAACAGGTCCGGTCATCAGGCAGCCTCACAGACGTCACGCCGCAGCCACAGCCGCACCAGATAAGCTCATATAACCTCACGTTTTAGATATATGACTCGCGTCGCTGATCGTGACATACTGTTTACGATAATACTTTATGTTCCTTAACGTCTGCGCTATTAAATCATTAGCGCTACTGAAGAAGTTGCGATATACAGGATGATGTGTTAACGTGGTTAAATTGTGATTAAATTTATAACAATTTTGTAGCTTAATGCTTATCATACCGCTATTGTAACATATATTTATAAGGTAAAACGAAGGGATAGATAAAATAGGTGTTTTGAATTGTAATAAAGCAAAATAATTACATTTTGTGAGATGTAAAAGTGCTTTCAAAGTTTGAAATAGAGTGCCGTAACAAGGCAAAGGGATAACAATCAGTAGCGATAAGGGGCTTTGTAAGCGCCGTGCGAAATGTCACCGCTCTCGTTCTCTATTTTCGTCGAAAGCAAATCCAACAAGAAAGCTATGCAAATAACAAATTCTGCTGTCGCCTGCGACGCCGTCGTCTAGACGCCGGTCCTGCTAAGATCGAATAACACTGGAGCGAGGCGGTCGCGGTGGGTCGGGGTCCCGCGACACGCCCCCCTTCTGCGTCATACCATCAATTGATTTAGCGACATGTTTTTATAAGATACGAGATAGCGTCGACCAGCGGGGAAAGTGTCGCTATACCTATTTATGTACATGTGAAATTGCCTATGCCTTGTTCTATTTGTTAGCACAGCTTTAGATATTTGTGGCCGACATCGGCGCACACTAGTACGCCTTAATTTATTACCTTAGGTTCATTGCAGATAGGCACGCAGCGTTCGTACTTTTGATATAGACTATTATTACACTTCCTTGTATTAATAAAGTGTAAGAGATTTATTTGTGTTGTTGCAGCGCCCGATATCGTGCAGGAGGACAGTCCGACCGTCGTCATTACTGGCGGCGAGGAGGAGGAGCTTAGTATGAAACGTAAGCAACTTTACTAAATAAATAATTACCATCCACAAGTATCAATGCTGTTAATATTACGTCATATTGGTTTGTCAGAGTACAAACCAATATTTACTATAATATAATTTAGTGTTGAGGATTCTTTGAGGATTTTTATTTTCGTCTTGGAAAGGAATATTTATTCATATGACAATGTGTGCTATATACTTATTAATATATATACGATACGACTCCTTCTAATGCATAGCAACTATACAAGAATTGTGTTGAAAATGAGTAATTTTTTATTTTTTTGCTCTTAGGCCTTTTTTGTATTTGTTACAGATTTCGGAGCGTTATTAACAGGACGATCCCCACTGTGTATACGTCGTGATGATATGACAGGAGTGGCAGTCGCCCCCGGAGTGGCCACCGCTCGGTTCACTTTTAGACGTCGCCATCTGTTCTGGTCCGTACTTCTGGGGCCATCTATTGTGACGCAACCTCGCTCGCTAGCCTTCCTCGATAGAGGAGGAAGAATGCTACTCGAACATCCATTGAAAAGATCACCCGGTATTCATGCGACTTACGAAGAAAAAACTGATAAGGTACAACATTAAATGCTACTACGTTTATTATTTATACAAAGTGTTACTTGTGTTGTAGACGAGTCTTACCTTTGTCACTACACGATTACCGTGGTTTTCTGAGACCAAAATCTGTGTTTTATACACAGATTTTGGTCATCCCTGTATTTTATCTTTGACAAAACAGAGATAAGTTGTTCAAACGGGGATTTTGATCTTAGAAACCCACGGGTAATCCTATGTTCCAAATGAAATAGAATTTGCGTCGATTTGGAATAGAATGTATATCCAATGTAGAAACACGTCAATTTTGTTTTGCAACATATTTTCATGTCATTCATTCACTCTTTTATGATCATTTAACCACCACATTTATGTTAAAGACACGTAATTAAAATGTCATTTAGCACAGTGGCGCCGGTGTAGAATTTCAATGTGTTTTTTGTTTGTTTGTCTGTACATCACAGAGTGATTGTTTTCAGCTGTGCGGCGTATGGCGCCGGGTGCCACGGGAGTACAAGCGGTTGCTAAGAGATGGGTCTCTATACGTGGCCTTGATCTGGGGCGACGAGCGGAATAACTCCATGGACAAGGCTTTAAGTGGACGAATTAATAGGTACGTCGTCTGACAACTGATAGATTAAATAGTTAAACTTGTACTTCTTTAGGTAGTTTTATGTTATGACAATTTTTTTTTGTTTTTGTCACACTAATAAGTCGTTAGGTGATCGTCGTGATCGAAGTAGACATGACTAAATATGGTAGTAAGCGTTTAATATTGTACATTGATGTAGGTAGGACGAAAATTTTAACAATGATTCTTACAAATCTTATTATGTAACCAAAATAATTGCCTGTCTATTTGGTTATTTTAATTCATTAATAATTAAAGTATTATAAACATTGATTTAACAGATATCCAGCACTATCAACTGAGATGTTCACAACACTACTAGAGCCGGAACATCCTCCGGCGTCTATTGGTAACGGCGCATGTGACGACTACCGCACCCTGGGACAGGAGGGCGGTTGGTGGGGTGGTACAGCAATTGTGACAGGAGCCGCCGGAGCAGCGCCCAGTTTGCATCTGGCTATCATCTACAATGGCATATTCACTCTTAGTGCCAGAGATCAGTCGGTTAGAGTCCTACTGACTCTACCTGAACGAAACCAGACTATTATCGACGAGGTTTGTACTTTAAATATCTATTATCGTAGACGACAAATTTATATCACGATATTGTGAATGTTGAGAAGATCAGTCTTAGTCCAGATTGGATCAATCCTTTCAATTTTAATCTAGCAGTCAAGCCTGATATTAGGAATAACTAACCTATATATGTATTTTTGACCTAGACATTTTTGCTTCTATCCTTCCAGATTCAAAAAGTTCCCAAGCCGGGTTACGAAATGAACATATTAGAAGTATCAACGCCAGTCTCGGCCGCAGAACTCAGGTCGTTGTCTCGTGGGAGACTACTGCTGGCGGTGCAGGAGGTAGGCACGGTGGAGCGGCGCATAGTGGGTGCAGTGCGACAAAAGGCGGCCTGCGAGGTTTACCACGCCTGTCTGGTCGCCGAGAGGGCCCCAGCGTCACCTGCTCCAGAGGGCCTTGCTTTGATATATATCGACAAAGAAGGGTCCCTAGTATATGACATACAGGTAAGAAATTAACTTCAAGTTTAACTTCTGTTCAGAACAGCAGATACAGCAGTGATAAAAACACAGGACTTATGCGTTATTATCGCTTTCAGGTTGACAATTTGGGGATATCAGATCCTAAAATAACTCTAGTCGAGGAGCAAGGCAAGCGACACTCGCAGGTGGAGATCCTAGACACGCGTGTGGGCGTGCTGGCGCGACCTAGCGCACGCATTTTCCCGCCGCTCTACGAGGACCAACTCGCTGTGCATATCGGCGCTGACGCAGGTACAGACAATTTCCATAACCATTATTTACTAATTATTCTGGAACAGTAATGAGAATATAAAGAAAAATGTTCTGGATTAACTCAAAAGACCACTGAAGCGATTTAAAAAATTACTATTAACGACAGATATTTTGTCAGAAGGGGAATTGAAGGTTTTTTATTTGCACAGAGTAACAAGCTAGAATCAATGTCTAGTGTGTGAAGAAGTTGTTTAAGGATAAGAAACTTTTGACGTGCAATTTAAATGTAACTTGTTAACTTTTAATTTCAGGACCACCAATCCTCCGCGGGCGGCTGCTGTCTCGCTCGCTGCCGGACGCAGCAGGATTGGGGCCGGCGCTGCTGCGTCGGACTGACGCTCGCACGCCCACCACGCTAACCCCTATGGCAGGCCTCGCCTGGCTCTCCGTCGACTCACTTTGCGGTATACAGTATGAGGTACGACTTAATTCATAGTAACTGAACTGTGCATGATCGACAAACTTCTTAAGTATACCTTAACTACATTCACTTTTTAAGGACTACAACGACTCCTTCAAATATCTTTTATACTGCCTGCAGTATAGTTTTGTGTGTCAATTCTTTAATGATATTGTTGCAGGTGGTAGTGACCGGGGCGACCGGTGCTTGGTCATCGTGGCTGGAGACGCACAGCGGTAGTGCGCGTGCGCTGGGCGGGGCGGAGGGCTGCGTGCTGGAGCCCGCGCCCGCCGAGCTGGCAGCATTGCAGGCTGGTACCGCGCATCTCAACGTACGCGCGGCCGACAACGTCACACAGCTACTGCGCACGCGCGTACCACAGGTTGGTTGGTGGATAATTGGAGCTTCGGTGTATGGAGTGTGCATGCATGTTTTAACTTCTAAAGTGTTGCCTGCGGGGAAATGCTCGATAAAAATTCGTTATCTGAGCCCCTGATTGTAATTAAGTCTTTCGTATACAAAATATTTGATCATCTCTGAAGAAGATAGAAGAAAACTAATTAAAAATCCAAGTCAATAATAAGTTCAGTATAAAGTATTTTGTCTCTATTAATTGCGTACTTCATTTTACACGCTAACAAGGCTCGTCAAGAAATAAGGTAAGAGAATGTCATTAATACACAACAAAGAGTAAAGATCACTTATGTATATTTTTCTTTCATTACGTTAATGTTAGTAAGCTAATATCGATGTAAATTTCGTATTACAGATAAGCGTGCCGCCATCTTGTCTGCCGACGGTGCCGTGGACGTCAGACAACGAGCTGGGCGCGGGCTACTCGCCAACGCACGTGGAAGCTCCACCACCTGATAATTCATTGACCAATACTGCATCTTGCTACTACGCCGGACGATTCTATGAAGATGGCGCGCAGTGGATGTCGACTGAGGTAAATTACTATTTTATTAATTATATTAAAGTAAACTGAGTATGATGGTATAGCTTAAAGTGTTAAAGTTGGTAGAGTGAGATGAACCATATGCTAACAAGCAAGAACTTTAAGGAAGATAATATCATGCAGAGATCGTATAACACATTGTGAGTGTAGACTAAAAACCTTGGCTTGGATGTAACCACAGTCAAGGTTACGAGATTTTTCGATAAGTAATAATATTATAATCTGAAAATTAGTTAATTGTTTGTTTATATTTTTAGTCGTGCCAAATGTGCGGATGCGTGCACGGCGTGCTGCGTTGCGATGCAGTACGTTGCCCGCGCGTAACTTGTGCCACGCCCACCATACAACCGCCCGGACAGTGCTGCCCCATCTGTACCAGTAAGTTTACAATGTAATCTATGTTTGTATTCCGGCAGTAAATGTATAAACACAAGATATAACTTGACGATTCTTTCTTACAGATTCTACAACAGCGGTGTGGAACGAGTCACATGGATGCCACCTAGCAGGTCAGTACCACGCGCCAGGCTCCTCATGGCATCCGTACCTGGTGCCGGACGGATACGACCTGTGCGCCGTGTGTACCTGTGATTTCGCAACGCGCCAGGTGCGCTGCCCTCGCGTACGCTGCCCACCCCTCCGCTGTGCCGAGAAGGATGCCTACAGACCCGACAAGAAAGCATGCTGCAGAGTCTGCCCAGAGGTAAATATGACGCTGATAAACTTGCAAGTTCCTTCCTTCTCTAACTGACAAAATTTACATAAAGAGACTTTTATTTATGTGGTTGTGTACATTTTAAGTCATCATTTAAGGTTTGTGCTTCAGTATTTTAAAAGAAATATAATTTAAATCGTAAAATAATCTTATTTTTAGGAAAAAATTAAAAAAGTGGAGGAAGAGACGCCGAAAGACCAGGGAGCGCCGCGGACTGCAGAAGAGATCCTGGCAGAGGGCGGGTGCAAGTTCCCTGATGGACCTCTGCCAAACGGCAAGGAGGTGCACCCCTCCATACATTCGCACGGCGAGCAGAGATGTGTCACCTGCCGCTGCAAGGTGACCTAGCATTCTTATTTTCTTTTATAATTAGCACGTGGTTATTTAAGTCAATGACTATTATTTTATCATAAACTTTTGTTAATTTTCCAGGACGGCGAGGTGACGTGCGTGCGTAAACGTTGCGGGCGTGCTGCGTGTGCGCGGCGTCGGCGCGGTGACTCGTGCTGCGCGTGCGCGCGTCACCGCCGACAGCGCGCCCCTCGCCCCGCGCCGAGCTGAGCGCCGCGCGACTACACTAACTAAAAGCAGTAGCAACTCGCTTGCGTTTCACTTCGTAAGACACTTTTGTTCACTTAGTAAGTAATCTCTTGGAGACACAATCTACGTAATAACAGCGGTAACAGTACTCGTTTGAGTCTTTTAATGAACTTTATACAGAGCCGTGCTTTATGTACTACATCTTTCCTTCAAGATGCAAACTCTTAAGACACAGTAAAGAGTTCAGTAGAGTTAACTAACCAGTGTTGGAAGGAAGTTGGTAAAATAACAATTGTACAAATAAATGAAGCTAAGAAATTTCTTCTTACTTAGTTTCTTTTCATCAACCTTCCATTTTTTTGACCAACGACTCCGTAGATCGGAAACTTTTTAATTTTTTTAACGATTTCAAACAGATTATACATCCTAATTTAATAAGGTACTTTACCTTGTTTCAAGGCTGTATTTTAGAATTGTTTGTTGTACTATATATGACATCTAATCTAAATCAAGATAACAATCACTAAGAATGATTAAAATAGCGATTATGACGAGGAATATCCCTTAAATAAAACAAAAGTTGCGAATTGGTTGTTTGCGCTGCTAGTAGTTAATGTGGAACTACTGCTTTTAGTTACTCTGTGTCCTAGGCTAAGTGAGTGAACGCTTCGCTCTATAGACTGATATATTTTTATGTATCTTGCGATTGGAATGTATAAGGGAGGGGTGCGCGGGCGCGGCGCGGCTCGACGCGGCTTCCGACACAATTCTAAGACGTTAAATATTTTGTTTCCCACCGGTATTTTAATTGGTATTATGAAAACGTCAAGAAATTTTGATAGGCGCATTAGACGGAGCCGAGGCGAGACGCGCGGGTGCGCGGCCCAATCGCGTCGTCAGCATGACGCGTGTTTGTGGGTAGACGTTAAAGATGTGCCATATTTTCTTAATGTAAATAAATAAATTATTACATGTAAACTATTCTTATTATGTGGATATTTATTGACGATTCTATTGTATATTGTTATCGAATTGGATATTTAGTTACGAAATCATCACAAAATTGTAAATCTATTAAGTAATTGTTTTGTGCATTTGCTTGTAGTTTCTTGTATATCATTATTTAAACTTCATGTAAATGTACACTTAAGTTTAATTTAAGTGTAATTGGATGTAACATAAGTATATGTTGGTACTATTACGTGTCTGATATAATTTGTAAATAACTCGGTATTATTTTATTATGTATTACTAAAACATATATAACTTTGTATCACGGAAGCTGGATATTAAACTTTTTAATTAAGATAGTATATAAGTGTAACGTGACTAGTTTTGTTTAATTACTAGATGAATATAATTAAGAAAGCTAGTCCAAATGTTTCGATGTGATGGAATGTATGCCATGTAGTTAGAAGTTAATGCCTGCCTTGATTATTGTTAGATATATTATAGTTATAGTATAAGTGACGGCTTGACGTATTTTGTTTTTTTTGCGGCATTATTTTTGTAGGAGCTGATATCGTGAGACATTACCAAAAAGAAAATGTTTTTTTTTCTCGATGTTTTATAAAGAAATTTCGCGTATTTTGTTGTGGGTTTCTAGTCCATCAAAATTGTGAATGTATATCATAGTTTTACTCACGTTGTATTGGCTATCATTTGTTTTATGAATATATATATTTTTTTCATTTAATAAAAATTAAGAATAATAATTGATTAATTAAACACGAAAGAGTTATCTTGTTTTTTAGTACTTGTGTATATTTCTAACAGTAGGAAAGTAACCTATGGCTTGCGAATAACATAACTAATAGCCATAAAGGATACTATGAGCTTGTATTGCGTTGTTTTTTTTTCTTTTAGTAATTGTATCCAGTATGCCAATGTACACGGTCAATGTAATGGAATTTTGAATTTTAAAGTAAATAAAAAAGTATATTATATATTTAAACCTCCTCATTTAAGTGGTATTCGAATCATAAATTTTTATGTTAACCTTTTATACCAGCCAATTGTTTGTGAACCGACGACAGATTTAGAATGAAATAAAATTACCTGTGAATTCTTAAGCGTTTTTCTTTATTTAATACTTAATACCTAATGTCAAATCAGAAAAAAGGATACGTAATTATTTTCCTAACATTCAACGAATTTATTACTTCAGTTATCTTATCTTTACTTTGTCAATATTACCTTATGTGCAATTAAAATATATCGGTAACTTTATTGGTACATTATAGAGATGACTTAACTAAAGCTTGTAGAGCATCTGCCAAAGCGTCAGCGAGAGCGTCCGCAACCGCACCAGTTGAGTTCACACCCATGATGCCAATGCGCAAGGACTTATCAGCCGTCGGTCCTCGTCCTGGGAAAATTGTGATTTTATGCCTGAAAAAATAGAATTCATCATCAATATGCTATGTCAGTTCATTACAAGATATAACCCAAAGCCTGCTACAGTATACTATGTTTTGTATTAGAAAATTTCATTTCTTCATTTAACTTCACAAGACGATTACTAAAAGAAATATTTGTAAAGCTGGCGATCGACATTCGGAATTTACTTTTTAAAAAGAAAAAAATATATAATTTACTTTTCTTCAACATATTTGATGACATCGTCATAGTTGTAGCCTTTTGGTAGTGCTAAAGTAGTAACGGTTGCAAGGCGGTGTTCAGGGTTCGGTACGAAAAACTCTAGAGGAAGGCGTTGGACGCGCTCGTGGAAGTGTCTGGTTGTCTTTGCGTGTCTCTCCCATGACTTCTCTAATGTCTCTATGCTTAGCTGCCGAAGACATTCTCGCAGCGCCCATACAAGGGGAGGCGACATCGTGTGATGATAACTGAAGAAATCAAAAAGTAATGCTTAACGGTATGTTAGAAAATAACAATTGTGGTGGGAAGGGATAAGTTTAGGCGTGGAAAGTACTAGGCAGTCATAAAATGTTTGGGTTTAGTATGTAAGGACTGGAAGAAGAAGAAGAAAGAAAAGTTTATATTATAGGTAATACAGATTAAACCAAGAAACAATAACTAACATAATAAAATTGCACATAACTAAGAAATTAAATTAGACCTAAGTTACCATTTATGGTTAATTTGGATAATCTAGTGATGCCCACACTAGGCAATGCCTGTATCGTGGGCACCGATATTCAGATAGGTATATAATATTCAGTCCGCAAAATTACAAAACCCACACTCACGACACTTTAGCATTTAACAATTCAGTTACTCCGGTATACATATAATAAAAAACAAAATTTAAGTTAATGAAAAGAAGAAAAACTTAAGTTAAATATATAATATAAATGTGTATGTACGGCTATATAAATTGATGAGATAAATATGTTAAAGGCTCTAGGATTGTATCTTCAAAAGATTCTCAGTATCATTATAATTTAAAGTTAGCAGCCACTTCAGTAAGGTAGATTTGGCTTGTGGTAGGGATTTTTCTAACAAGTCGCAGCGTTTAACTACAGAGTTATAAATATGAAATTGAATAAAGGAGCCCGTGCGTTGTGCGAAGTAGGATTTAACTGATGGCATAGGTAAAAGGTAGACTCTGCGAGTCAACCTATTTTTGTGTTCAGCGGATCCAAGCAAACTTTTATGAACCATCATCACAGTTTTGTACAAGTATAATTGCCTTACGGTAAGAGTGTCAGAATCTCTGTATAGATCTTTGGTGGGGTACCGAAAAGGTTTTCGCAGCATAACTTTTAAGACGGAACGTTGAGCTCTTTCAATTCGGATCATATTGGTAGCACTCGCAGAACCCCAGCAAGTTATGCAATATGTCAGAAGAGATTGGCACAACGCAGAGTATATGCTTTTTAAAATATCTAAACTGCTTACATCTCGTAGTTTTCTCATGATACCAATAACTCTTCGGACTCGAGAGGAAAGCGATTCAATGTGGTCTTTAAAAGTTAATTTTTCGTCTATGAGGACTCCCAAATATTTTACTACTCTTGATCTACTCAGGGATTCGCAGTCGCAGGCAATGGTGTTTAATGGTGGTGTGTGGTGAAGAAATTTAGCATGGAATAAGAACATAGTCTGGAAGAACGCATAGGTTACTATGCGTTCTTCCAGACTATGTTCTTTACTTCAATTCATATCAATTTACTTCAACTCGGACGTAGTCGGGAACGATAGTTACTATTGAATAGTTGCACACCCGAGAGCTTGTTTATTGGACTATCTTAATCTCCGTGTATCACATGTAAAGTATATTCTTGATAACTAGTATATTGCAAAACGTTAAAGCTTTGTATGCAAAATTAAAAAAATCAGTCTACTGAGAATCGTACTCAATATTTGACATGTCAAATTGATATTCTTATTTACTTTACCGAGTTTCGACTTATATATTTTTATTTACTTATATGATTATGTACTTACTATCGTGTATTCCCATAACAATTCCACTGTTCGGCCAACAAAGTGATGTCGAAATAGAACGGCATCTTATGCTTACTATTCTTTATTTTCTCCCTAAAACAACATCAATACGGTATATCGTTTTCGCAAATATAAAATAACAAATGATAAATCCATCAAGATGGGATTCAATCACGTAGGAACTGATACGTTTACTTACGAGCTATAGAATCTATTCATAACGAAATACGAAGATAAATCAAATCAAATTTATCTTTCCCTTTGTGTAATCATCATAGGTCAAAGTAAACACTATAACAAATTGTCACAAATACAACTATTAAAAGATTCATTTGTTTTATCTTCTTATGAAAGCACAAAGTAAATAATTAATATAATTACGCGGCTCTGGCGCTGAATGCAACCGGTGATATACCAGCTGGGCCGCTCAATGCTTTCTGCGTGGATGAGTACACGGCGTCCACTCCCCATGCGTCCATGAAGAAAGGGACCCCACCGAGAGACACCACTGTATCCACCAGCAGTAGTGTACCGTATCTGTAACAGAGTAAAAAGTTTGTACACAAAGAGAGCTATTCTAATGATGTGACGTGATTCAACGTGATGTCAAGTGATTTAAAGTTATGACATGTGATATTATGTGATGTGATGTGCCTTACTTGTGACAGATATCGCCGAGACCCTCAAGTTTTTGCACGGTTCCTGTAGATGAATCGCCGTGGGTGATGAACAGTGCTGTCGGCCGATATAACTCCACTTGTCTTTCAAGTTCTTCCAATGTAAATGTGGTGTTATGGGCTATTCGATGCACAATTATCTTGATACCTGGAAGCAACGATATTTATTACTTAAGCAAATAAAAAATCCAGTTACAGATATTCTACGTTTTATACACGTGAAGACGAGTTCGATGAGATTCGAATTTGTTTTTCATCAATATTGTGTTTTGTGCCTTTGTAATATCAATCTGGACAAGAAGATAAATAGAAAGACACCTCACTGGTCAATATATCATTCAGTCGTTTAGTCCACATGCATAAAAATAAACTTATATATACATTACTCTCTCATTAATTACCATATCTATTAGCAACGTTGTATGCGCGTTCGTCCCAGATGCCTCTGGTGGCAATAAGCAAGGTTTCTTCGGGACCGACGAGGTTTGTGATCACTGTCTCCATGCCTGAGTGACCTGATCCACTAATAGCCAGCACCAGATTACTCTTAGTTTGAAACACATATTTAATTCCAGCGCGAATGTCATCTAGAGCCTAAAAGTTAAATAATTAACCTTTACATTTCTCTCAAGGTGAACCACGGGCTTACCAGATGTTCTAAGGACAGAGGATAAGACAGAAAAAAGCATTAATTGCTTTCTCTTTATGTGCATCTTTCCCCTGTCATTTGTTTTTTACTTCTCAATTCATTCCATTTTAGAAAATGAGGCAGGCAAGAGGATGAAATGCCTCCTAGACCTAGAGTACCTTATTAACTTATCTTGCCTCTATTAAATTATTATTTTACAAACTATTACTGCTATACAGTGCCAAAAATAATATCTCACTTACTTTAAAGTATTCATCACACAATGGTGAAATAATGGGTTTGGTTAGAGCTTCACGGACCGATGGCCACAAGTTGCAGGGTCCAGGTCCACATAACAAGGTCTCCTTTATTTCAAAATCAACAATATTTGGAGGAGGTATACTCATTTTTGATGAATGCTTTTGTAGCCTGCAAACAGTTTTACAGTAACAGTGGGTATGTGAATAAAAGATGATATAAAGCGTAGCGAAGATAGCTGGGTTTAGAATTAATTATTGTGTAATAGACAAAGTTATTATTCTGTATCAAAATTTGTTTTTTTTTTCTTTTTAAATTTAATTAATTACTGGCAAGTAAATGACCCAACTTGAGTTCTATAAGGAACGATAGATGATTATGTTAATTTGCTAAATAATTAAACTTAAAAATTTTCGTGTTAGTTAAAAATTTATAACTTTGTATTTTAGATTTTGTAGATAAAAAAGGTACTTACTGAATAGTAGAGAAAAGAAATTGAAGAGAAAAAATTTAAAATTATTAACTATAGAGATCCGGTTTGTTCTTTACAATTCCATGTGAAGAATGGTTTACTCATGTCATTATATATATATCCGTGGATGTTGCATTAAGATAACATGGGGTTAATTTCCGTCCTTGATCGCATTAATCGATAATGTCAATACTTGCACTATTTACTGTGGTTATTCGAGATAAATGTTTATAAAAATGACTAGTACAATGTAATTAAAATGAAAAGAGAAATTATAATATATATTACGAAATATCTTATCCTAATATTAATGAACCAAAAAAGCCGATTGTTTATGACTTTTATGGTGAACAAGTTTTTTAATTTAAACATAGAAACCGTAACTTTTTTTACAAATTTTATCGTTGACGATACGATGCCGACGGTCACAAAAACATGCGTTAGGCCCACATATTTAATAAGAAATAAAATAACCTGTAATTTAAGTGTTTAAAATCCTATGTCTAAATATACAGATAATCAAACTTTTACCAAGGTACGACCTACCAATATCATACAGTTAGATTAAAACCTAGACAGGAATATTTGCCTTGGACCACTAAACATAAGATGGCCCAATGTTTTTCATTCATGACATCATAACTCTCTTTTTTTGAGAATAAAGCGTTTTATTAATATTTATATAAATACACGAACTTTGTTGTTCAAAATGTTGTATTTAGTAAAAAAACTTTATTGAGCGTCCATATACATGAAAGATTTCATCACAAACAAATGGACTAATTAGTCATTGCCACGTTATAGGGATGACTTAACCAACGCTTGCAGTGCATCAGCCAAGGCGTCGGCGAGGGCATCCGCAACCGCACTATTCGAGTTCACACCCATGATGCCAATGCGCAAGGACTTCCCAGCCGTCGGTCCCAGGCCCGGGAAAATAATGATGTTATGCCTGAATAAAAAAAAATAAAGATAATTTTATCAAAATCCGAATTTTACTTTCATGCTTTATCTGGACTTACTTTTCTCTAATATATTTGACAACTTCGTTGTAGTTGTAGCCATTAGGTAGTACTAAAGTAGAAACAGTTGCTAGACGGTGTTCAGGGTTCGGCACGAGAAAGTCCAGTGGAATCCGTTGGAGGCGTTCATGGAAGTGTCTGGTTGACTTCGCGTGTCTCTCCCAGGACTTCTCTAATGTCTCTATGCTTAGTTGCCGAAGACATTCTCGCAGTGCCCATATAAGAGGAGGTGACATCGTGTGATGATAACTGAAGAATAAAGGTGTAAGTTAACAATTGTTGTGCGTAAGTCGGGTTCAAGAGAGGAAAGGAACCAGGAAATCATAGAATGTAGGGATAAAGTATGTAAGCGAAGAATTGCCTTCTGTACCATGCCGACTAATCAAAAGCCTTACTTAGTCTTTATCCATTAGTATGTTTTTAGCACGGAGATATGCTCAAAAGAAATGGGTCAATAATGATATCTAAGTAGTGGACGTCTATAACAAAAACCTGTATATTCTTACTATACCAGTGTGTTACCCAATGTTAAATCACCAGAACCTAAGACTTAGTCATTTTGCAAGAGCGTTATAAAAATCGAATCTGGTGTGGCACGTGGCATTTCAGTTGACTCTTGTTATACTTACGATCGTGTATTCCCATAGCAATTCCACTGCTGGGCCAACAGATTGATGTCGAAATAGAACGGCGTCTCATACTTCCTATTCTTTATTTTCTGCCTAAAACAATATAACAAACAAAACGGTAAAGCAAATATCAAATAAAGAATCCCTTAAGGTGGAATTCACTAAGGAACTGATCGTTTGCTTATGAACGATACAATCTATTCATAACGTAATACGAAGATAAATCAAATCAAGTTTGTCATCTTTATGTGTAAACATCAAAGTCCAGAGTAAACACTGTAACAAATTGTCAGAGTACAGAGATTAAAAGATTGACCTATGTGTTTATCGTCTATAAACACAAAAAGTAAAAGCAAACAAAACATATAAATCTAGACATAAAAATAAGATTTATTACACTTGCTTTCACATATTAAACTATATACTATATGTCATTGAATCTTATCTCTACCCTTAGCGATATCCATCACTGTCCCATTTTTAAGACCTACTCAAAAATTACTTCTTATTAAATAAACAAACTACTAACAAGCTATTAAGGTAACAGCATAGAATAGCTTATCTGGACTTCAGCAGATAATACGAGTAGACCATTGTGTCAAAGGCACTATTAATTTAAACCTTTTATGCAGTTAATGTTTTTCAGGGTTCCGTACCTCGAAAGGAAAAAAACGGAACCCTTATAGGATCACTTTGTTGTTCGTCCGTCCTACTGTCAAGACCCTTTTTAAAACAGAAAAACCACGATTCCACTTTATGGTGCGTTTAGATTGTAAGCAGTTACATAAGATCAGCTTACATCTTTATTTGTCATAAAAGTAGAATACTAACTCCGCTCTAGCACTGAATGCAACCGGTGATATACCAGCGGGGCCACTTAGTGCTTTCTGAGTGGAAGTGTACACGGCGTCCACTCCCCACGCGTCCATGAAGAAAGGGACGCCGCCGAGAGACACAACTGTGTCCACCAGCAGTAGTGTACCGTATCTGAAATAAAGTAATAAGTTTATAACCACAGAGATAAGAAATCAAATGTAGAGTGGACATTCGAAAGATAGATGATAAAAATCAAGAATACTAAACAATCGAGTTTCTTTCGTAGTGAGATCAAGAACGATCGGTTTCGATTTTTATACGTAATGGAATAAGCTATTCCCCCACTAATATTTTATACCCCTTTATTTCCTTTTCACTGCAGTTGTAAACTACTCGAGACATTTAATTAAAAGAGTTTTCAAATGGATAGTGTTGTGAGAGTGTTCGTTGCAAAAAGTCGTAGCGTCGCGACGCGTGAAAAAGATTAATGATATAATTAAATTGTCTGCCGTTCTCTCGACTAATTCCCGCCCAAGCAATCGAAGCATTGATGTGGCCATCGGTCGACATCTATACGAGATACATTTCAGTTTAGTTTATCATTATAGTAGAAGAAAATATTTTGTAGGGTACAAAAGTTTATTTAAGGAAATTGTCCAAACGAATTAATGCTTTTGACAAGAATCGACAATAGCTATTTTAAATCAACAAAAAAAGGGATAACGAAATATTGTTGAATTACGACCAATGAGCAACCACTATTTTAATAAAAAGTTACAACAAATCTGAATATTCTATTACACTTCGAAAAGAGGAAAGGACATATTAACTGAATTATACTCAATTTAAAATCTTTTCTATTTTATACTCTTAGTGACTAAAAATATTGTACAATTTGTACCAGATACACGTCGCCGTGTAAAATGGACATAATAAAATAATGATGTAATTTACAAAGCGAATTATTTGAAACGTGTCCTCGATAACAATGGGCTGGGAAATCGCGTCTAGATTTACAAAGCTTCGAAGGACCTTTTCGGAGATCTGGAATGGCGAAGCTTAAAACATTTAAGTAATATGTATTAACTTATACTTAATCTATTGTAATCCTAATGAGACATTTATTTAAGTAAAATTATACTTAGAAAGTTCAGCGCTTTATTTCCTTAGATTTTTTGCAGTATGGCAAATAATATTTAGTAAATTGTAATTTGTAATAAGTAAGCGGATTTTCGGAAACTAAACAGCTTGTCATGGTTCCGAACGACGGTCTGGTTGGGTCGCACGTGACTGCCGGTTTTCGACTACAGATCCAGTATCTACTTGCAATTATATTTTAAACATAGAGATTTAAAACCTGGGATTAAGCTTTACAGAAACTTCATAACATCTATTGGTATAAACGTTATTTTGCATAATGTGTCGTGACGTGTCGTGATGTGTCGTAACACGTCGACGTGACGTGACATACTTGTGACAAATATCGCCGAGACCCTCCAGTTTTTGCACGGTGCCCGTAGATGAATCGCCATGGGTGATGAACATTGCAGTAGGCCGATATAACTCCACTTGTTTTTCCAGTTCCTCCAATGTGAATGTGGTATTATAAGGTACTCGGTATATAATTGTCTTGATTCCTGAAAAATTCAAATTAAGTGACTCTGATTAAAAAAAAAAATATCCATGTTTTAGTTATTCCGACAAATTAAATATTAACTGAATAGATGTAAGATTTATCGTCTTAAGGAATCTTACCATATCTATTAGCAACGTTGTATGCTCGTTCGTCCCAGATGCCTCTGGTAGCAATAAGCAAGGTTTCCTTGGGACCGACGAGGTTGGTGATCAAGGTTTCCATGCCCGAGTGTCCTGACCCACTAATGGCCAGCACCAGATTACTCTTAGTTTGGAACACATATTTAATTCCAGCGCGAATGTCATCTAGAGCCTAAAATAAAATATCTTTCAAAGTGGCAAGCCGTTCAACTAATATTAATGTGCTTATTGACTTACAGATTCATAACACTCGCATGGACAGAGGAAAACAGACGTAAATGATATTTCCGTCTTTCTTACATCAAATCGTTCTTCCCTTCCCATTCCTTCCTCATAAAGCCCTCATAAATTTGTAACAAATTTCTAACAAACAAGAAGATTAGAATTAGGACAACTATTTTATGAAAGCTAATAAAAAAAAAATACTTACACTAAAGAATTGGTCGCACAATGGTGAAACAACAGGTTTGGTTAAAGCTTCTCGGACCGACGGCCACATGTTGCAGGGTCCTGGCCCACAAAGCAAGGGCTCTTTAAACTCACTATTAACAATATTGGGAGGAGGGATGGACATCTTTGATGGAGCCATGCTTTCTAAACCTGTAAAATTATCCAGTCTTTCAATATATTAAACAGACATGCAACAGATGACATTACTATAAGAGGGATCAGAAAACGGTACAGATAAGAAAGGCTAAGAGAAGATAAGAGAACAGAAGCCTTTATGTATCTTAGAAAGAAACTCTGATAGCAATATGTTATCGTACTAGTGGTTATAATAAGGAATCATATAGATTAAAGCAATATTTTTCAAATTGACAATTTCTTTTGAAGTGGAATAATTGAATCGCAAATATAATCGTTTGTTATAAATCTTATATCTTTAAATGAGCAATTCTTGTATATATAATTGGAATCTCGGAATCGGCTCCAACGATTTTCATAAAATTTAGTATATGTTTCGGGGGCGATAGATCGATCTAGCTAGGAATCATTTTTAGAAAATGTCATTTTATTCGTGTTTTATCGATAATCAACTTAAAACATAAACTTAACTTTTTCTATCGGTAAGATCGAAAAATATTGTTCATATTTCA